TTTAAAAACATTTTCTTCCACATTTTTCCTAAGGAATAATGGGATTACAGTGGGCAAAACATCTTGGAAATGCTGTCAAAGTTACAATCAATGACTTGAATGAAAACTCTGTGACATTGATTCAGGAAAACTGCCATTTAAACAAATTGAAAGTGGTGATGGACAGTAAAGAAAAGGAAAAGAATGATGATATTCTTGAAGAAGGAGAAGAAAACCTTGGTAATATTAAGGTGACCAAAATGGATGCCAATGTGCTGATGCATTTGCGATCTTTTGATTTCATGTAAGTGGAAAAGATTTGTTATGTCACTTTCTTTTTTGTTTGCTTTTTGTTTTGTTTTTTGAGACAGGGTCTCATTCTGTCAGCCAGGCTGGAGTGCAGGGGTGCAATCATAGCTCACTGCAGTCTTGAACTCCCGGGCTCAAGCATCCTTCTGTCTCAGCCTCCCAAAGCACTGGGATTACAGCGTGAGCCACCACTCATGGCCTGCTATGTCACTTTCTAAACTGATCTGAAATTTTCAGGGGTAGAGGTAGTTAAAAATTAGGAGTTTGTTATTGTTTATTTATTCAAATTAATGCAGTTTTTTTGACATTGGCCTGCAATGTGCAGTAAGGAAATTTTCTAGCATCTGAAATAAAATGCCTGGCCCTGACACTTTTCCTCTAAGCCTGATTTATTTTTACAAGTCTTACATATCATATTTTCATTTTATTACTTAATTTAAAAACAGAATTGTGTATGTAAAATAGATTCGCAAGTATTATACTTTTGAATCCATGGAATTTTGTCATTCGAAATAATTACAGTGGTATAATTTTGATCACTAATATGAGTTTACATATGTCTATATTCTTTCTGATTTTAGACATCTAGACCCTTTTGGCACGTCGGTGAACTATCTAGATTCTGCATTCAGAAATATAAGAAACCTTGGCATAGTGTCAGTGACTTCTACAGACATCAGTTCTTTGTATGCCAAGGCGCAGCATGTCGCCCGGCGTCACTACGGATGTAACATTGTCCGGACTGAATATTACAAGGAACTAGCAGCCCGAATTGTCGTGGCCGCAGTGGCAAGGTACCACATTGCCAACAGTGTACCTAGTATGTTCAGTATATGATAAAAAGAGACAGTATTATAAGTATTATATATCTTATTTTTCAAATATACATGAAATGTAAATTGTGTATTCCATATTTATAATCTTTATTTGTTTTTAATTTTATGTAGTATCTGTTAGAATCTTATTTAAAAGCTTATGCCTGGAATATTCAGTTTACTCTCTAACTTAAAATATTATTAGATAATTAAAGTAGT